TCTATCTATCTATCTATCTATCTATCTATCTATCTATCTATCTATCTCTCCATCTATCTACCTATTGATCTTGAACATAGTATCTGGGTTTATATTTTCAGTAAAATAACCTTTTTGTGTGAACTGGTATAAATTGTTCTTTCCATTGATCCTTCCCCTAAAGTAGTTTCCAAGAAGTTAAATGGAAAGCAAGATTATAAAATATAACTCTTCTTTCTCTTGCCCATGTCAGTAAGGAAGAGAATTAGAGAAATGTGGTGGCACTGTAGTGTTATATTAAATGAGATACTCTGATGTTGATTAGGATAGTTGCTTGCCCATGTACCTCGATATTTTACTTTCAATCTGAAGGGAAAAATGAGTTTAGTTCTCTTATGAGAAAGTGTCTGTTACTTTTCTTCCCAAGGAATGTTCAGTATAATGCCTTCTTTTTCCCTCAGGTTAGTCAGGCAACAGACATTTTTTAAACTCCTACTGTGTGCCAGGCATTGTGATAAACTCGGGGATACAAACAAAGGCCTCTGTTCTTAAGGAGGTAACAGCCTAGGGAGATGACATTCAAACAACTATGTATAGGCAAGATATATATGCAATAAATTTACGGTAGCCTTAAAGAGAAGGCACTAAGATGATGGAGGACTGAGAATAGTTTCATGACATTGCATGGTCTTGGTTTTCTCCTACCTCTCAGTTATTTCTTCCTTAGATACATTTGTCTCATTCTACCATATAAAACTGATTATCCCCTAAGATTCTCTCATTGATTTTGTCCTTTTTTCTTGTGTGTATATATATATATACACTCTCTTAGCAGTCTCTTACATTCGTATGGATTCACCTCGATAAAGACAACTCCTAAATTTATGTCTATCATTACAACCTGTTCTTAGAGCTCTAGTCCTGTATTTTCCATTATCAGTGGAAAGCTCATCCTGGTTGTCCTGTGGCAACTCACATTCGTCATATTCAAAACTAAATTTAACATCTTCCTCTCGAAATAAGCTCTTTAATGGTTTACCTGTTTCTAATAATTTTGTTCTCCAATCTCTTCTCTTTTCTGCTTCCTAATGCTATATTTTCTCTTCACAGAATACATTATGAACTCCTTATTCAAGGTTCTCCATGTTCTGGCTTCATCCTACCTTTCTAGCCTCCATTCACATTCTCTTCCCTTTCATGTTTTCTACATTCCAGCCAAACTAGATTACTCTCCATTCCCCATTTTTGTTCTGCCATCTTCTGTTTCGTTGTTAATGTTCCCATCATTTCCCATATCAGCAATGGATGCATCCCAAGTGTATGCATACATCCCAAGTGCAAGACTTTACATTTATCCCTGTAAATTCCTTGGTTTACCCGTTCAGTTTATTAAGATTCTTTTGGATTCCGTGTCTGTTATCCACTGTACTGCCTGTTGTCCCGATTTTATGTCATTTTCTAATCAATAAGTATGTTGTTTGTGTAATCAATCAAGTTATTGATTAAAATGTTGAGCAAAATATGGCAAAAATTCAAATAAGATAATGTATGTTTAAGACTTTGCAAACCTTAGAGTACTGTGTACATTGAGCTGTGATTGTAAAGTTCATTCTCATTAGACCAAATCTAGGTAGATATCACAGCTGATGTTTCAACACAATGAAAGAATCAACTTGATGATTACTTAATTTATTCTTGAATTTTTAATTTGTAGCTGTTCTAAGTTTCAGACCATTTTTCTGTGCTTCAGAAATTTTTTGGCCATATCTGTAATTTCATCAGTTTACAGAATGCTCTGGTAAAGAAATTTCCTCTACCAGTACAGGTTGGCAGCTGTTCTGCAATTTTAAGTTTTAGAGAGTTGCCTGGGTCCCTGACTCGTGGGACTTGTCCAGGGGCATATTGCCAGTATGGGTCAGAAGTTGTGCTGGATCTGAGTTCTTTCTCACTCTTTTTCTTCACTACACTTTTCTGCCTTCCTGCCTTAGAATTTATACTGAGAAAATGGAATAAAATTTTTTTTCTTTTTCTCTTTGCCTACTTTTTTATACTTGATAGATATTGAACTATTGGCAGCTTGTCGAGAAGAGTTTCATAGAAGACTAAAGGTCTACCATGCCTGGAAATCCAAGAACAAGAAGCGCAATACAGAAACAGAACAACGTGCACCAAAATCAGTAATTGATTATGGTAAGACCTTGCTATAACTTTGAAAAGTCTGCCCAAAGGAGTTTCGAGATAAGCTAAAAATTTATACCAGAGCTTATTATGGTTAGTTTACCTGGCTGTAGATAAGGGACTAATATACAGTATTTTGGTAAAAGATTTGATGTTAATTTCCAATAAATGGTGACCTTTAAATCACTGAAAACATTATTTTTAATTGAGATGACCTTATTTAAGTATAATTACTGTTCCACTTGTTTTCAGGACCATATCTATTAGGCACTAAGGAATTTACTTTAAAAGTGATATAGTTTGTCCAGTTTTACTAATAGTGTTATAAATATGGTTGATCAAGAGACATTTATATCTGAACTTAGTATCTCATTTACATCTATAATAATAAGTTAATATTTACATAGCACTCAAAACTTTGTAAAGCGTTTTCCATATAGTATGTCACTTGATCTTTATAACAACCCTGTGATGTGTTATACGTCAGATAGTATTATCTACATTTTACAGAAAAGGAAACTGAAATTCAGTGATATTAAGTGATTTCATAGTCACACACATTAAGATTACAAACTCCTTGAGGACATGGGCTGTTTTTGCCTTTGTGTCCTCAGCATTTACGACAATGCCTAGTATGTAGTGGGCATTTAATAAATGCATGTCATTGTTGCTTCAATACAATGTCTTCCTTCTAAGTCCCACTATTTTTTCCACTGATGAAACTGCCTAATTTAAGGATGCCTCCACACTAACTAAGAAAATTATAGTGTGGCTTTTTTTTGTTCCAGTTTAAATTAATATACCTTTAGTTTTTCTATATGCTGCAATAAACATAATCATGTTTTTTCCAAAAAAAAAATGAATGAACCCAGGCAAGGGAATGAGTAAGAGCACTTGTGCCCTGCACCAAAAACCTAGTTTAGGTATTTAAAAAAACATGTTTAACAACATGTTAAGAACAGAAAAGATAAATGTAATCCTGAGTCAGACCAGCAGTCTCTCTAGGTTTGTATTCTGTTTCTAAATATTACATCAAGCCATAGTCATTACCTTTGTAATATTGTGCCCAAAATGGACCCTCAAAATTAGTTTTGCCTAATATTTAAAATTTTATTATCCGTGGATTTATCATAATCATTTTAGAGCAACTTGTATTGCATCCTATATAACTCAGAGTAATCAATTCAACCAGTCAATAAACATTTACCAGGCACCTATATTAGACATCATACTAGGTGTTCTGGGGAGTCATGTGCCAAAGTGAGATGGTTGCTGCCATCATGGAATTTACATTATACTAGGGGAATGCAGCATGTTCACAGTTTAGTAAATGTGGAAGATATAGAAAAGGAAATACACAGTTACTTGAAAGTTGGGGAATCTGGAAAGACTTCTTGAATAAGGTTCCACTTGGGCTGAGCCTTGAAAAGAATTGTTAGGGGGTTCAAAGGGATGAGGAAAAGAGAGTATATTTTGGGCAGGGGGGTAAGGCAGGGAGCCTGTGCAAAGGTATAGAGATGAGTACAGGAGACAAATTGACAAATGGAAAGTATATGAGAGGTAATAATGTATTATTAGCCTAGAAAGTTAGGCTGGAGCTAACTTGTAAAGGGGTTTAATAGCTGAATCGAGAGGAGTTTCTAATTTATCTTAAAGGCAGTAGCTAACCACAGAAGCTTCTTGAGGTGACAGAGGTGACATTGTCAGACTTTTTTTTAGGATTGTGGCTATGAAAGGAAGAAGAAAAAACAGAATGATATCTTGAAGAAATGACAGGGTTAAATTAAAGTTTATTTTTTCTTTTTTTTAAGGATGGGGAGATCCTTATGGGCATTTCAGTACCTATTTTGTACTGATTTTGTACTCATTTTTCTCATAAAACCATCTTCTAAATATCAGAGATAACACTTATTTCTTGCGTTCCAGGATTTTGTATTTACACCATTTATACTCTTAATGAGTTTGTGGATTTTGATGACTTTCTTCTTTGCCTTAGTTTTTTCTGACTAAAGTCAGAGTCTTTTAAGTTTTCTCTCATCATCCTCTTGAGTATGTTAGCCACCCTGTCAGAAACTTTCTAACTGTTAGGTTTTTCTCGAAGTATGGTGATCAAATGGCGGAATTTTCTCGGGAAGGTGTTCCTATTCTGCATGAGGAATAAACAGTCATATTCCTCTCAGAAGAAATAAAAGTAACCGAGCCAGGGGGAGATAAAGAATTGAAGGAATTCAGTGTCCTCCAAACCAAGGTCTGTTTCTTGAGTTATGAACAGACAATTATGTGCCATTTAATAACATGAATACAACAAAAACAGAAATCCTTTCTTGGGGCAGATCTTCTTGTCTTTCTAGATCATACAGCTGTTAGTATATTAGTTGGAACTAAAATCCAGGTTTGTTGACTACATTCCTTTTTTTTTTTAATTTTAAAAAACTTAAAAAATTTTCCCTTTTCACAATAACTGTAATATTTGAATACTGTTTGATCTATTCATAAAGAGTAGAGTCAATTTTCAAGTTAAAATTTTATTATTGATACTTTAAAACTACATTTTTTCTTTTAAATTTAAATTTAGAAATGTCTTCTAAATTTTCTCTTTATTTCCTTTTGTCCCTGATTGACTCAAATTCAGAAATACAGAGTGTGGCTACAAGAAGGGACCTAGAAAACCTTATGAACTTAATTGAGAAAGCACTGTGCTTAAATAGTTGTCTGCTGACCTGAAATAAAAGAATTTTCTGAAAAAAATCATATTTCTTTATTTGAAGGATTAGATTCTAAACTTTTTAAAAAAGAAAATGAGAGGGTAACTATCACATATGATCAACAAAAATGCAACAATTTGGAATTCTTATAATAAAAATAATTAAATTATTATAATTAAATATTATTATTAAATTATTAATTATTAATAATTAATTATTATTTAATTATTATTAAATTAAATAATAATAATTAGATTATTATAACTAGTAAGACCAAATTAAGATTTTTTACCAAATCTTTGTAATATAATTAAAAGTTTCTTACTCTGTGATTTCTTAAATATCACTAGTTTCGTTAAATTTATAAAGAGACTTACTTCAAGTTATTTATTTCAGGAATATAGGAGAGGGGCTAGCTAATGACTCAAAGATAGATGATATTTAATTGCTCAAAATTATTAACCTGACAGCTGCTATTTAGTTGATCTCTGGAATGAGGAATGGCATAAACTTATGATTTGAAGAAATGAGACAAATTGAGTCCATTATCTAAAAGTAGTCTGATTTTTTTCCATACCTAATGACTACAATTTTTTAAGAAGTTTTAGCTGTCTTTTCCTTTTTACATGAAAATTTTGGTACAATCAGATCAAACATAAATTGTAGTACATTCAGTATGTTTTTGTTTTGTACATCACAGTTGTCACCACTAAGAAGAGATATTGCTTTATCCTTTGCATATTTGAAGCAAATAAAATTCCTGAAACCTAATCAATCAAAAGATCTTATTTTCTTTTAATCAGAAAGCACCACATTCATGTGAATTCTCCTTGTCACCTGAAAGGAAGTATGAGTTTAATGAATTATAAGTGTTCATTATCATGGCATGTTTATATTTTCAATATGAAATATTTGTTCACAGATTTTGCGCCATTTTTGAACAATTCACGTAAGTGGGAAGATCTTAACTAATCATAAGCTAACTGGAAGATGGGTTAAACTTTCTAACTTCAATTAATCAGTGTTTTGCTACACTTTCCTGTTAAATTATAGTACAAATTTATTTACTTATAATAGAATACCTTTTGAATTGAAAAAGTTTGATTGCAGAAACTCTAAAATGCTTGTATGTTTACCTTCCTCATTGAACCATACATATATGTTGAGGTAAATTTAATTAAATCCGTTAATCTACTGTTTAATAGTTTCATAATACCACCTTTTAAAAAAAGTAACAAGCATTTTATACCGTGGGTGTGTATTATTCTTTCCATTGTAGCAAAACTCTGTAATCTTAATATAACACCTATTTGTTTAGAATCAGAACTAACTTTAGGTGATGGTTCTTAAACGGTATCTTTTTCTAGGTGATGGTGTTAGAACATAAAAATTGATTCCAATAAGCTGCTTTGCATTTTAATTAGATACAGGTTTTGGATGTTAATACGTGTGCTCAGGATTAGAAAGAAAACCTCCCAAATTGTAAGACAAACAAACAGACAGGGATGGATTGACCAGGAAAAGTTTTTCTTCTGAGTTTTTTTGTTTTCTGTAATATGCACTCTTAGATAACATAAAATCAGTGATTCAACTTACTATTTAGCATATTTCTCTCAAAATCAGTGAAAATGATGATTGTTTCGATAAGATGCCATATTATGTTGCTGATATGTTGTGTGTACATTTTTTAAAAGGGCTCCTGATAATTTATAGTTCTGGATATAAAATTTGTCTTATTCTACAAAACAAAAATATTTAAGTGAATTTTAAAGAAAGTTGTTAAGAAGATTAATTATCTCATTTTTAACAGCAGCATTGTTAGATTTTCAGGTGGAGATTGCTTTCTAGGCTCCCAGAAAAATTGTAGTACTCAAATTTAGTACTTGTTCAGTCAGCCACCTAGCATTTATTAAGTGCCTATTGTTTACCAGGTATTGTTCTAAGTTCCAGGGATACAAAGGGGGAAAAATCACTGTTTTCAAGGAGCTCACCATCTCATGGAGGAGACAACATATAAACAAGATATAGATAGGATAAAGTGATGGTATCCTCAGAGGTAAGGTACTAAGATTAAAGAGAACTAGGAAAGGTTTTTTATCAAAGATGAGACTTTGAAACTTGCAGGAAACCAGGGAATCAAGGAGGTAGAGATAAAGGAGAACATTGCAGGTGTACAGGATAGCCAGTGAAAACATTCTGAATTAGGAAAAGGAGTATTGTGTAACAAACAGCAAGGAGGCCAGTGTCACTAGATCATAGTGTATATGTAGGGAAGTAAGGTGTAAGACACTGGAAAGGAAGGGGGTCAGTTTATGACAAGTTTTAAAAACCGAAAGGATTTCATTTTTGATCTTGGAGGTAATAGGGAGCCAATGGAGTTTATTAAATGGGGAAAGGAGGGTCAGACCTAAAGACCTGCACTTATGAATTTGACAGCTGATTGGAGGGTTGATTGGAGGCAGAGAGACCAGTCTTTCGACTGTTGTAATTGATCAGGTATGTGGTAATGAGAACCTGTGTCAGGGTAGTGGCAGTGTCAGGAGAGAAGTAGGCATATACGAGAAATTACAACGATTAAATCAATAGGACTTGACAAACGATTGGATGGAGGTGGTAAGGGAGAGTGAGGAGTCAAGAATGATATTTAGGTTGTGGGCCTAGGTGACTGGGAGGATGATGGTGGCACCCTTGAGTGGAATAGGAAGAGGGAAAGATGAATTCAGTTTCGAAAATGTTGAATTTAAGATGTCTGTGGCATAGCCAGTTCAAGATGTCTTATAGGCAGTTGGAGATATGAGATCAGAAGTCAGGAGAAAGGTTAGAACTGGATAAGTAGATTTAAGAATCATCAACATAGAGATGATAATGGAATCCATAGGAACTTACATGACCACCAAGTGAAATAGTATAGCAAGAGAAGAGAGGCTGATGGACCCTGATGGAACATCCAAAGTTAGTAGGCATGACCTGAATTATGTTCCAGCAAAGGAGACTGAGAAGGAGCAATCAGATAGGTATGAGGAGAACCAGGAGAGGGCGGTGTCATGAAAACCTAGAGAGAAGAGACTACGATGGAGAAGAGGATGATTAACAGTGTCAGAGGCTGCAGAGGTCAGGAAAGGGCCATTAGATTTGTCAAGTAAGAGATTGTTAGTAACTTAGGAGAGAGCAGTTTGGTTGAATGGTGAAGTTGGAAGACAGACTTCAAAGAGTAAAGAAGAGAATGACAAGAGAGGAAGTGGAGGCATCTTCTCAAGGAGTTTAACCTCAATAGGGAGGATGAATACACAATGATAGTTGTCAGGGATGAACAAATTGAGTGAAGGTTTTTTGAGATTGGAAAAGAAATGAAACCACAGCTATTGAATACTTGCTGTTCTGTTTCTTAATATCTCCTTTATTGATTTATTTACATTTCTGAAGGCTGCCAGTTGATCATATCATATAAAATTAATAGACTGAGAAATGTAAGAGAACTTAGGGGTGTACTGATCCAGCCCCTTCATTTTATAGATGGGGAAACTGAGGCCAAGTGTGGTGAAGTGACTTGCTGAATGTTACACAAGTAGTAAATGGTAGAGCCAGAATTGAAATCAAGGTCCTTTGACACCAAGTTTATTGCTCTTTCCACTACACCCCACTGTCTCCACAGTGCTTTTGAAACTTGAAAGGCTTATGAAATGTTAGCTTGATTATGGGGTGGTTATTGGACTTATGAAAATTCATTCTTCATTCTGTGGAAAACTGCTGGATTTCTATGTAATACTTCAAAGGGCTAAAAGTTGCTCATTTTCCTGAGATTTGCAAAATGACAGTGATTTTAAAATTCTGAAATCTGAGCACAAAACTAAAAGTAGTATTTTGGGGGTATAAGAACACAAAAAAAGAATGAGTATCTCTCCGTTAACACGTTGAGTTCTCTTCAAAAGGTGCTGGATCCTTTTCACCTCATTAACAAAATGAGCTATATTTTGGACTATTCTGGGCTTTGCTTAACTGTTGTTGCTTTTTGCTTTTGTGTGGTTTCTAAAGAAACATTTTATTGATCAATTCTTTCTCCCGATTTTTTTTGGTAAGAAGTTAAAAAAGAGTATCTATTATGCATTCCATGACTTTTAGGAAAGTTGTTTGGTTTTGTATAATATCTCTTCTAAGAAGTTTTGTTTTCATTATACATTGTCAAACATATTCCCTTCATTGGGTTTTAAAATATGGAGAAAATACTATTATTTGAGAGAGTGAATAAGAGGAAAGTTCTGTCAATATAGGATGGTGTTTACTCACATCTTAAAAGATACTTGCTTTGTTTTAAATCAGGGCTATTATTTAAACTTGCCAGAATCAATTTGACATTTGAAAATATATGTTAACTTGATTAAAGAGCAGTTTTTGATATGCTTATCAATTGAAATGGATATATCTGACAGTGTTTACATCCTTTAGATTTGTCAAATTGTTTTTCATTAAAAAAAGAAAGACCAAAGCTACTTCTTTCCTCATATTATTTGCTTTACTATAGCTATAATTTTGAACTATTTGGAGGAAAAAATATAATATAAATGTAATTAAATGATTTGGGGTGTGGTGACTAGAAAAATATCTTCAGTCCACGACACATGTATTGCAACTGTATTTATTATAAGAGAAATGAACATGCACGTGGAACTTTTATACAGGTGCAGGGAGTTCAGTGGTACATGGAAAGCCTTGGGCATTTAAGTTACAGGGAAAAGGGGAAGTCATAGGGGAGGGGAAAAGATTAATCCCTTCCTGAATGGGAGGAGAAAGGGTGATGGCAAAATCCTCATTCTTTTCCCTTGGAAACTGCTAGTCTATGAAGAAAGGATGGTCTGTTTATCTACAAGGGTCCTAGTTGCACGAACAGTTTCTTAATCTGGTACAGACTGACTGGTGCCTGTTTTGATTCCCAAGGATGTACAGGGAGTCCAGCTTGGGGTGCAAATAAAAATTATGCCAATTTTGGGGGGGGGGCTTTGTCTGTGATACATTCAGGGCTTTCTGCATACTCTGTGTCTGGTGTTTCTGGAAAATATGGCAACTCAAGAAGACAAGCTCAGGAGGCTCCTTAACATCCCCCCATTGGTCATAGGTGACCCTTGGGTATGCTGATGACCATAAAGAGTGCACTTGGTAAAACATTACCGTGAATACTATCCAGGATGGGTCTCTGAAGGCTAAGATAAAGAAACACTTCGCAGTGATAAAGGACAACAAACAGAAAGCTAACAAGAGACCTTGGACACTTTATATTTTGGGGGTGATATAGGATAGTTCCAATTACAAAGTCATATCAGAACCATTAACCAAGCACAGTAATAATGTTCAATATCAGGGGCTAATCTAGAGGGGAAAATCATACAACTGCAAGATAACCAAGAGAACTTAGTATACAGGTAACGGAAAGTAAAAGCCAAAGGGGTACGGTCATGGACATCCATATTAACAAACAGTAAGTCTCCTTGAAATTTAGTAACCCATTCTCTGTCCATTCAATCAAACACTTCATTGTGAATCTCTGATGGCCCATGCAGTCATCTGGAACATCTTTTCTTGGGGCAGCCTGGAAAATATCATGTTGTCAGGGGCACCATTTCAGTAGGTTTCCTTTCTGGTTCCAAGTTACTTATGAAGACTCCTTAGATGTACTTGCTAAAAATTTTTTACAAAACAGATCTCAATTAAAGATTTCAATACAAGTCACAAAGATTACTTCTCCAACAACTAGTTCATGTGGTGAAAACCAGCTGGAACCTTGTGGTTCTGATCTAATCAATAACAAATCTATTAGGGGAAAATCAAATTAGGAACACATAGTTCTCTTGAAACTTCAGAGAATTTAGGTTTTAAATACCCCTTGCTATTTCTATCTGTATCTAAACTCTGTACCCGACATATACACTGTTAACAACAAGCTACAGGGTTACTATTACATTGATATATGTAAGACTTTCAAATACAAACAAAATATTTTAAATACCACAGAAAGCAGAACTCTCAAAAACTTCCAACTTTATATTTATATGTATGTGTATTTGATCTTGTTGTTTTCTCAAAAATTTTACCCATTTTTTGCTTTATTATTTTTATTTTTACTTAATTATTTTAGAATTCAAAATTTAAATTCCACTTAATTTAAATTAATTCCAATTCAATTCAATTATTCATTTCCCCCATTAGGAGGAGCAGAGCCAGATAAGGACCTAATCCTCACATAAAACACAGGTCATAGAACATGGTTTATAAGAAGTTGACTTATGATACACAAATGAATTTACATAAAAGTTTCCAAGTTAACTTCAATTATAGCAAAAGACTTGGGATGGAATGTGTAAATACACTTAAGCAATTAATCCCCAATTATATAGAGAGAACAGTGCATATCAAACTGAATTGCTTCTAGTAGATGATATTTAGTTGTTAGCCATGTTCAAATGGTGCAGATATTACAAACATTACTCTTCAATAAGATGACTTATGGTATTGAAATTCTGTTCCTTAAAATAAAACAGAAGAGGTTTCTGACTTTAACCTCATAAATTAATAGATTAATATCTTTGTTTCACAGGGTTTTTCTTTGTATCTTTGTTGTATTATTCCCACAGCACTCTGAAAGAATGAGCTATTTCAGGGATCTAATCTCCTACATGATTATGTATGTATTAGTAGGCTGATGACAAGTCCAAGTACTAATTTACTCAGTTGTTTGGGATATGGAATGACTATACATTCAGATTGAAAACAGTAAGATCTTACAGCCTTGTACCATGCTCATATCTTCTCCTGACATCTTGTTCTGATTATAGAAATTTGCTATTATAGAAATTTGCTATGAGAGGAAAAAGCAGGGACATGATTATAACAGCATCAAAGCTGGTCCTTCAAACCTTGGCCTAAGGACATAGAATGACAAAGTATGTATGCCAGTATAAAGCATCCTTAGATCTTTATGATTTCAGGTAAGAGTCATAGTTGGCAACCAATCAGGCAATATAGATTCCACCTCATACATAGATTTAGGAATAACCAGATGGGAAACATTTTTGTTTGAAAGGAACTATCTGAGCCAAAAGGATCCTACCTTCACCTGTGCCATGGTTGTCCACTTGGCCTTTTTTTCCAGATACAGACCTCTCTACCTGTAACAGTTTAGGGGCACACTCTTGTGGTATGTCTCTTGAATGGTTGATTACTGACTTAATGAATCATCAAACAACTATACCTGAATTCAGAACTCAAAACAATATCAATTAGAGTCTCAAGAGCTTTCATCTAAAATAGCAAGTTTCACTTACCACAGCTCAAGGCTAGACACAGTTGTTTTTATTCCCATGGAGTTGCCATAAGCAGTAAAAATTTACTAGAATTCTCACACATATAACAAGACATTTCACTTAACATTACTCACTTGTTTTTCTTTAGACTTATCCTGGTGTAAAGATCAATCATGAAAAAGTATTGCTAAAACAAACTTGTGAATTTTCAGTAAGCCAATTTCATCATTGTTTAGAAATTCCATAACCCATTATGAGCTACCTTCACGGGGCTGATAGCCTTACCCACACAGATGGTTTCAAAAAACCTGGCAAGTTTACAAATGAAGGGGAGTCTATAAGTCTACATTATAATTAACCATTACCCTTTTAGAATGTAGGTTTTAACATCATGACATTAACCCTTAATGCCTTAGGTAAAAATGTTGTAACTCCCAGAAGTGATAGCCAAATAGCTTTAGCTGTAACTTCCTCTTACCTACAGGCAAAGGTAGAAATTTCCAGTTTCCTGAATTGCAGTTACAAAACATTATAAAATAGGGTTAGCAGGGCTGATAAAATAACATAACAAGTTTTAAACAATTTTTCCATCTTCCTTCAGTAGTTTAGTTCATACTCTAATAACATCCAAGTTATAAAAAGTTGCTCTTCTAATGACATAACTGGTAAAATAATTTACCAATTTTCATAATGTAAGGAAATTTAGAAACAGAACAACACCATAAACACTATTATGTATTTGAAACTTGAAACAAACTAATTACTAATCAGGTGATCTGATTTCAGCTGGATGCATTTCCAAAGTACCTTGAACAGAAAATCATTCATCATCATTGATGCTATACACTGATCACGTCTAAAACTCTATATGGAGTTACCAAGTATGAAGCAGTTACACCTAATTTAATAATAATAACAGTTAACGTTTATATGGCACTTGCCTTATTATGTCAGGCCCTGTTAGGCACTGTGCAATTATGTGACCTCACAACAACCCTGTGAGGTAGGTGCTACTATTATTCCCTTAAAGATTAGTAAAATGAGGTAAACAGATAGAAAATAACTTGCTTAGGGTTACCCAGTTAACAGATTTTCAGATCCATTAATTTTCTCAATTTGTCTTAATGCTAAATAGTATGATAAATTCTGATGTATTATAAACATATTAAAATAAGACTAGAATAAATTCAATTATACTTTGATCTGTGTTGCAAATGGCACCACACAGAATCTTAATTTATAATTTCAGTTATTTACTATTTAGGCATTTTGTACCACGGCTATTTATTCCAAGCATTCAATGTTATAGGGTTCACTATTTCCAGCTAATCCACTACCAAAGAAAAAGTAGACATCTGATACAAGGTTTAATCTACCCCAATCATCCCTCTTAAGAGCATATTTTAATGTAGTTAAAATCTATTGTTCCCTATAAACACATGAAGTCTCATACAACCTTCTCACTTAAAGCCAAAACTTTCTCACCCCTTTCTGTCAGTGTACTCAACCTGTCTTTCATAAAACCCCACACCTTCCTTATTACCTTCAGATTCTTTGTTTAAACCTTCCCTTATTTTGTTCACTCCTTAAATTCTCCTTATTCCAGTAGTATCTCAGGTTATTATTCTCTAATTTTTACTTCATTGAGTTTCTCCTTGAAAATTTAGTATACGTTGTTGTTAAATAAAACTGAAGCTCATTAAAGAATTTTTACCTAAGACATCAGGTAATATTGACCATTTATATGTCTGTAACAATTATTGAATTATTAACATTTCTGTTATTTACTAAGAGACAGAAGCACCAAAAAAAGCATCTTTTAAGATGCTTTTAATACTGATAAAAATCTTTAACAGCATACAAAAATTTGGTCTGTTCAAATAATAATTAAATTGTGGTATATCATTCACAAAAGTAACACAAAGCATATTCAAGTAGCTTAAATAAGCTCCTCTTGGATGTGTAAGGAACAAGACACTTCTTAAGATTCAAACACATAATCTATTAAACAATTGAGTAGGAGTCTCATTTAAATTACAGCAAAATTTCCACCTTCAAGGTGCACACACCAGTTCAAAAAGTTACGTTCGTATAATGTTCCAGTCAGATTGAATTACCTTTTGGTTGTTTCCTGGTACGCAAAAACTTTCCTCTTTTTCATGAACCATGGAAGGATTAAATGCCAGTCCTATTCCAGAGTGCAAGCCTTGAAACTTTCAGTGATAGCCCCCAAACCTGTCTCTCTATAATCAGTGAAATGACCTTCTTTTCTAGCGATGAAAAAATAAACTTTCTAGTTATTCTAGGAGTGGGGCGGAGGGGTGGAAAGAACTTGACCACAGTTCAGAAATGTGAAGGAAGAGAACAGTGTTGCAAGTATAGGTATATATCAATGATCCTTATGTTGCTGGTGCCTGTCTGAATCTTCTATAGTTTCTTGTATAGGTCAGAGGAGATTTTTTTGCGTTTACATTTATTTGAAAAGAGAAAATATAAAAAACAACCATACTTCAATTCTTATGTTTTACTTTCAGTTTTTATTTATGGTGAAACTTAATTCAAATAACACTGAGTAATTGAATTTTTTAAAAGAAGGCTTCTGTGAAATTAAAGTTGTTGTCTCTTTTTCTCTGTCTTGTCACTTTCCTTGTTTTGTATAATAGCTCAGCAGAACCCAACAACTCAGCTTCCTGCCAGACAGCAGGAGATTGAAATGAATCGGCAGCAACGCTATTTCCGTATTCCATTCATTCGCCCTGCAGACCAATACAAAGATCCTCAGAATAAGAAGAAAGGTTGGTGGTATGCACATTTTGATGGCCCTTGGATTGCCCGACAAATGGAACTTCATCCTGACAAACCACCTATCCTTCTTGTAGCTGGTGCGTATGTTTTATATGAAATTAAAAAAATTAAAAATAACAATAGCTTGCAGCATGTCTTAAAATATATTTAGACAGCAAAAACTTAGAGAATCTGTCTATATGGAAATAAAGTATTACGGTTAAAAATAAGTTCTGGTTAACTGAGAGTTGATCAGTTTCTATATTGGAAGAATTGTATTCCTGTGTAAGATAGATGAAACTCCCAATCAGTAAATATGTTTGAACAGAAGCTTGATGACCAGCTGTCAGTGAGGTTAAAGAAAGGGAATGCTGCATGGGTTAGGAGATTGGCCTTAGTGATCTTTAAGGTCCCATCCAAATCTAAAATCCTTTGATTCTGTGACTTGTACATTAAGATCTCTCAGATGTATGCATTTATAGGAATGGATGTGTGTTTAGAAATGGGGTGCTTTTGTTAACTACAAATCTTCTACCTAGGAACCAGTTTGTTCAACCACAATGGCAGAATGCTTTGGAAAACTTCTTATGCATATAATGTTGTCTCTGATCACTTTAACCACACAGATTGAAACCCTAGAGCAGGGGTTCATAACCTTGGATCCATGCACTCTCAGGAGGATCCATGGATAGATTATAGGGGATTTGTGAACTTAGCTGAGGAAAACAATATTTTACTGTAATTACTTTCCTTTGTAATCCTAGGTATTTACATATTTATGAAATTATTCTGATGAATAATTACCAGACTTCCAAAGAGGTCGACGATACCAAAAAGTTACCACAAAGCATAACATAGGTAGAAAGAAAGCAGCTTCTGAATTCCATGAGAAATAACAAGTGCTTCAGAAATACTGTTTGTATAGAAGTGTAAGAAGATGGAGCTTATTAAAACAGTTTGGAAAATACTTGTCAAAGAGATGGTGCTGAACATCACCATCTTTGTTGTAACAATAAACCTAATCCAGAAGTTCAGGCATTTTGTTTTTCCTTCCTGAAATCAAAGCATTTTCTTTGGGTTGAAAGCACAGGTAAAATGCTTCAGGTTTGTCCTTGGCAAGTGACCACCAAATATAACTTATAATAACTGCTTTTTTTCTGTGCCTGACGTGCCAGCCTCTCCATTCCTTCTTTATGGGCTTTAATGGCCATTACTACTGTGTGTCAGATCATTCGAAGTGATTTGTTTTTGTCTGGAGGTTTTAGTTAAAAGCTTTAGACGAGAAACTCAGTTGTAGATTTTTGGGTCTTCTTGACTTCTACCCCTCTGTGGTTTCGGGGTTCTCTGCTCTTGATGTTTTAAAAATTATGATTGAATAAGTCAAGGATTTTTATTTTAATTGATCATCTCTGGGTTAACAAAAAAACCGTAGTTTTCTCAGCATATTGTAATTAGGGAAATATGCTCTGACCAGAGTTTATGCTTTAATTTCATATCATTTGCAGTGATGGTTTTTTATAGGAGACTTCTAAAAATCTATATATCTAAAGACAATAAAACTTATGTAGACTGCCCTACAATGAAACCTCTACAGCATAATAAAAAATGGAACCTCCCTTACTGAAGAAAGATTTGAGAGGATAAATTTTTCTTGACACTATCTAATGAGATAGAGTAATTATGGAATTTCAGAACTGAAAGGGCGATAGAAGTCTGGGACTTTGGGACTGGGTGCAGTGTGGAGTTCTGGAAAAAGCACTGGACTGGGAGTCAGGAGACTTGGGTTCTAGTCTCAGCTCGGCCGCTAGTTGTGCTTGTGATCTTAGGCAAGATGCTTCTCTTCCCTGGTCCCAGTTTAGTCATGTAGCAAGTAATAGGGTTGGACTAACAGGTCCTTACTCTAAATTTCTGTGATTCTAAGCTCCTTCTGTAGAACTGTTAATTATTACCGAATGTATCATGATGTAGTTGTTTATAATAGTGGAGAGCTTATCTGGTGTTTTATTAGGATGTTTGTTATTTCTGAGAAACCAGGTTTGTGGAATTCTTGGGAGAATTGTAGTTTTCATGATGTGCTGAAAGGATAACTTTTAATCAGTACTATAACTATGGATATTAAGAGGACACAAATTATTTAATATGTTAAATCATTTTGAAATTGTATTATGATTTTCATATGTCTCCAAAATTTATAGGTAAGGATGACATGGAGATGTGTGAGCTAAATCTTGAAGAGACTGGTCTAACTCGGAAGCGTGGTGCTGAGATTTTGCCCAGGCAGTTTGAAGAGATTTGGGAACGCTGTGGTGGCATCCAGTATCTTCAGAATGCAATTGAAAGCAAACAGGCTCGGCCTACATATGCAACAGCCATGCTGCAGAATCTGTTAAAATAAATGCTGCCCACTGAGTATAGAGCTAGGAACTCTGGCAGGAATACCAAGGAAGGATTCCTTTGTTCCCCAGAGGATTTAAACATTCCATAATCATGCAACAGAGGCTTAATATAAAGTGAACAGATTTTATTAATCATGGGAGTTTGTTAATTTATACTTTTGAGGGTTAGTTTCAGTAGGGAACTCTAATTTTGAGCTGGAAGACTTTTTGTCCAGTATTTTTCCATCTCTCATTACTCTAGTGCATCCCCCTTTAAAAGCCTCTCAAAATTCTAACACTTGGCATAAGTCAACAAATTCTGGCATTTCTCATCCTTTGGCAATATACTGTATTAAGTAATTAGAGTTGTCCTTATTGAAAGAAGAAACTTTTTTAAATATCCAAAATCTTTGGCTTTTTAAAACTCTGTAAGATGAGGGTATGTTGTACCTTTTAACTGGAATTGTAAGACCTTAGCTTTAGTTTCTCATACAGAGAAGGTTAGGCATTTTTCAATATGATCAAGACCTTGATGTCTTAGTCTCGAGGCTTTTTAGTATCTGAACTTAATAACTTTACCAGGAATTCATGAAAATTTCACTTAAAGTTAGAAACTTTATTTCCCCCCTTTTGTTGAGCCTTAGCTTGAGTGAAATAATTCGTTATGAATTTTGGAAAGATCTTAAGTGTATTTGATGTATTATATAATAAAGGAGACACTAAAATTTATATCCTGCACAATTTTCTCTTTTTTGGAATCTGAAATGTGTGTTTCTTGAAGAACCTTAGTTTTAATTTCTTTAGCAAAAATATGCACTTAGTTAATACAGGTGTTGAATAGAAAAAATTGCAAATAATTCAGTTAGAGAAAAGAAAAACATAAGGGAAAAATACACTGTGGCATAACTGGAATGTTTTAGGCTAAATTCATGTATCTTTTCTGCTTTGTCTCTGCTGTGATTCAAATGATAAAAATTACTTTTGTGTCAATATCTTGTCACTTAATGTAATTTTTGACTACTGTTTTTCAAATAATTTAAATTCTTTTTTAGGCCCAGTACTTTGCATTTGAGACTTTTTTTGTAACTGTAGCATTGTTTTATAGGCTGTATAATTTAAAAATTATTTTGCCCAGTAATTGCTAATTTCTTATGTCTAAAATAATTATAAAAACATTTTCTCATTGTGTTAGTTCTGATAAAATTATCAGCAGTGTAAAACTTGATGTTTATGATATTCATACTAGAAACTTGAAGGAAAAGTGACATAGCCTGGATTGTGTTGGCATTCTTTTTAGAAGTCAAAAGTCTCATTTGGCTGTAGTGAAGATTAAAAATTAGGAAACAAAATGCCTCTCTGAACACTTTCTTCAATCCTGTTGAAACTTTAGCTTTCAAAATGAATTTTAGAAAGAAAACTATAGTTAGGAAGATATTTCCCAACTGATTATTTAGTGTTTGTGTTGCCAGAGTCACTATTTTAAAAAATACTCTTCTCTTATAATATGTGTGAAAATGTTTTAGTACAAAAATATTTATTTATGATTATACTATGCAAGTGATTGACTTCTTTTATGGTAAGGAAATGAGCTCTATTGAACTCTTAATTGAAAATACTAGTGTAGGTTTCTTTGAAAGCTGTATTGCTTCATGGATTCACCTTAATCTTGAGGTATTTGGTTCCTTGATAGGTGGGGTTAGGATGTGAAATGACTTTCCTTATCTTATCCCATCCCACTCAAATTGGTATTTGTTGTCTTTAATAGATGTTTTTAATTGAACATAGGGAAATAGTTTCATATTAACTGATCCTGAGACTTTTAGAAGAAAATTCAGCATTCCAAGATTTCTTTAGAATGACATGACTGTTTTCTCCCTTCTCTTAGTATTCAGCTCAGAAACAGCTTCCCCCTGCCCCATGGTAGTCTCCTTGATAAAATAATAGATGTCATACAGAAAATGATTGATTAAAAAGGATATAACCATTTTAATCAAAGAACTTAAAAAGGATATAACCATTTTAATCAAAGAACTTAAAAGAAATATTTCAATAAAATATCTTCACCTTTCTTTTCCCCTTTCTCAGATCTAGTATTGCCTAACAAAAATCTAGTAAAACCTTACTTCTGATTTTATCCTATAGTTGTCCCAAAACTTATCTGCCTGGAATGGTCTTCTGAGTTAAAGTTGGTTACCAAGAGAGTTACTGTAATTCAAATTGATTTTCAGTAACCTACATAACAGTAGGCTAACATGGACAGAAGACAGCTATTGAGAGTATTGATAGAGCTCTAGGCTGTACTATTCATTTTAATGGGATTCTTGTAGAAGCAGTGAATCAAGATTCCTAAGGGCATTTGATACAGTTGTTTCCCTGTATTCATAGATAAACTAGTCCCCTTGTAGAGAAAGATGACACAGGGAATGGAGGAAAATCATTTCATACTCTAACCACTTATTTTAGCTGAGAATATTACAATAATTTTGTTTTGAATAATCAGCATTTTAAGGCTTTTGTCTGCACTGAATCCTTACTGCTTGCTTATCTTGAGGCCTGACTGCATATTTCTTTGATATGCATGAAATTGGGTATATATTAACTCTTGAAAAAGATGGACAAAAAATATGTTCCAATTAATACTTCAGCTTAATACATTAACAGATGAAATATTTTCTGCTTCTAATTCATTAGAGAAATTAATGTGTGCCCAAGGTGCACTGAAAGAAGGGTACCCTTTAGAATATATTTCACTTTAAGAAATTTTTTTTATCTGTATGCCATTCTTTCAAAAAAAAATTGAGAAACCTTGTTTATTGTATTTCAAGGGACCACAAAAAGAACAATTTAAAGTGGAAAATAGGTGGTGTGTTTTTAGAAATTCAATTCGCAGTTTGGAAAGTTACAGGTAGGAGAATTGTCATGAAGATTCTTTATATATATGCTCTCTTTGAAGAAACTAGTTGTTTCTTCAAAGGTACTATTTCTAAAAATAATTTCCTTGGTTTCCAGTGAAGTTAAATCTAAAAGATCTTAGGTTTATTTAGAGTATTTAGTTCTAGTTATATAGAAGCATAGGTGGTCATTTACTTTCCTTTTTCCTTTCAAAAGGACATAGTGTGGTACAGTGGGGGAAAAAAAAAAAACCAACCCTGGCTCTGGAATCCAAGGACCTTGCTTAAAATCTTGCCTGTGACACTTAATACCTTTGTGATCTTGGGCAAGTCACTTAACCTCGTCAGGCATCAGTTTCCTTGTCTGTAAACTGACAGGGTTCGATTAGATGGCCTCAGAAGGCCTTTCCACCTCTATAGATCTATAATGCTATGAATCACTGCTTGCATTCCCAAAGGAAGGTGAGCAGTAGCTCTCAAATTTCTTTTGATGGCTTCTACTACTTTGTCACTCTTTTATTCAACTTCCCTACACATTGGCTTACCTTTAAAAAGCAAACAAAAAAGTGGAAGAATTTCTGTACTGTTAAGCAGTAACTATCACATTTATTAAGTTCTTGTCTTCTAGGTATAGGAAATGTGAGATTGGGAGTACCATTTTTCATTACTATTCCCAGCTAATAAAGAGCACAGTAGAAAAAAAAAAGGGAAAAAAAGAGCTAGTACAAGAAGGGAGGTATAAATGACTAAGAAAATGGCAGTAGTAACAATAAGAAAAAGAGATTCTGCTGTTTTGGTTCCTCACTTTGAAAAACATGCTAATGGGATAAGATTCTAAGGTCTCTTGAGAAGAAAAGAAACTTTTGTTTTTTTTAAGGACAGTGTAGGGGAGAGAACAACGACTGTTTCTAATCAGAGCAGGAAGAAATTGGTAGTTCATTTATTACCTTGTTGAAAAGATGTACTTTTGAGGACCCAAACACGTCTTTGTCCAAATGGTGTTAGCAATAGTACTTGAAATGGTAAATTACTAGGGGAAAGGATGATATGGAAGCACTCCCATTCTTTGTAGCTAAATAGATACTTTCTTGAGTTAGGATCAAGCTTTATTTAGGTTAAATTAAGTATTTTCTCCCTTTCCAACGTTAGAATACACTCAAAGTGTAGTATCTAATTTTTTTCAGTTGATAAAATTAGGAGTCAAATTCAAGGAAATTTATATATAAAAAGTAGATCGATTCTCCACCATATCACTGAAGTCTGAGACCTATCCAGAAGCTCACATTTAATAAAACATAAACAGCAATTTGTGAATTTGCCTTTTTTTCCTCCATTGCTAAATTTTCTCCTTTTCAATTGCAGGAATTATATAATTTTATCCTTCAAAGTATGTATCAGAATAGATGCTTCCTAAAATTATTTTACTGATGTACTGAAAATTGCAAATAATAAATATATCCTATGTTGAACTTTGCCTTGCATTGTGTGTGTTTTCAGTGTACTTATAGTCCATTTTTTAGAGGAAAAGAATGTTGTGTGACAGGAGGAGGGATGACTTTCCTAAAGGTGGTGCTGTATGACTAGAAAATTTAATTGTCTTCATTTGTAAAGATTTTAGTTGAGATTGTTGATGCTATTTAATATTTTATTGTCTTTTGATTATAATAGTTTTTTTAAAATTGTGTCTAAAATCATTAAAAGCTGAAAATAAAACAGGATAATATTCATTTCAAGATAAATTGACCAATCTATAATAAACAGGCATTATATTTTATTGAAAGAAAAGTCTGTTTATAACAGATTTATTTGGAAATAGTTCATATTTGACATTGATAAGGGCTCATGAGGATTAATTTGTCATTAACATGTACATTTAAAACATGTTTATGAAACTAGTTAAAATTGAGATAAAGTATGCAAACATACAAAAATACGAAAAATGTGCTGTTTAACATACTATGTTCTTTAATTGAAAGAAGAGCTTCATAAACTTTCACTTATGGTTTGTCTACTGCAGACATAGTCTTCAAATTAGTATGGTGTGAGTTTTTAATTGTATAATCTCTAAAAATAGGATTGTACATAGAGTAAAAGGACAAGTGGGATTTCTCTGATAATTGAGTCTAAAATGTCCCAGTTACTTTTTTTAAATACCCCAGAAATGACTGAAGCTAAATCTATCTGGTGCATAAGCTTGTTTTATGTAGACTTGTGTGTACTTTAAACTATTGAATATTAATTGAAAGGTATATACCCTTCGTGTGCAAATGCACTGCAGAAGATTCATCTCTTTTCTAGGATAGAGCTTGCAAATATTCAGCTTTTTGCACTGTAAAATATGTATATATTTTTGTATAGCCTGAAAAGGGCGTTAGATTTTTCGTCAAGTGACTTGGGTTCAAGTGTTAATTCTAATCATTACTAGGTGTGCAATTAGGGACAAGTTGCTTAACTTCTCTCAATTTCCTCATATATAAAATGAGGATAATATGAAGAAGGTGCTTCATAAAATACTACATAAATGTGAGCTCTTGTTATTTCTTAATGTAATACTGAACACCTTTTTAAAGTTCCACTCTAATGCTTCGTTGTATCATGGAGCTGATAGTGAGTTCTCTATCGCTATGTTAGTGCCAAAGCTCTGGTAGATCCTACCTAGCTCCAAAATCTTCACCTGTACGCCTTGTGGTAGACTTCATATTCTCTGAAGACCAATTTAGCCAAGTTTTCTGAAGATGATTGCTGAGTTTGGCCATTGAATGATGTACTTGCTAACAATAGCAGTTCTTGGGGACCATCCAGTAATAGAGGTTGTGATCTGTAATTGGTAGAGGGATTGGTAATCTGAAGCATTTTTGGAAATACTGTATTAACCATTATATTAGAAACAATTCTAGACCTGAGGCGTATCCAAAAGACTCGATTCAACCTCCAGTCACCTTACTTTTACAGATGAGGAAACAGAGTCCCCAGAGAGGTCAATTTCTTTGCTTAAGGTCAGGGACAGAATGTCAGTTACAATCAAGGTCTTCTGACTCCCAGTACAACAACATTCTTATCATTCTCAAACATCAAGAATTTATTTGAATACCTACTATGAACGCAATACTGTATAAATGCTATTTCTTAATGTTGGGTTTATACTAGAAATCTGGTGATAAATAATTCCTACTACCTTTGTTGATATAATGGATGTGATTTCACTGTGGGGATGTGATTTCACTTGGTGTGTATTTATTGACTATATGTTGTCTGGTTACCAACCTAGCTGTTTGGCCACCAGGTGATGAACTTTTTCTCTTTAGCAATTCTTGAATTGACTGTCAACTAAGTTACAGACAAGTTGTGTTTTGCATTTGTATAGATAACACACACACACACACACACACATAATACACACACTCCTTTGGTGTTTGAAAACGTTGAGATTTACAAGCTTTTTCAACTATAGGTCAGATGGTTGAATTTTCCTATCCTAAGGTTGGTGATTCAAAATTCGGTTCTCAATACCTGAAAGAGAAAAAGATTAAGAACATGAGGCATCCTTGCCATTCAGGGAAGATCAGTGCTCCAGCTTATTTTTGTCTATCAGATATGTACAAAGTTTTGTTGGTTGTACTTTCATAATGCTTTCACATTTGACCCTTTTTTCTATTCTCATGGCCACTGCCTTCATTTAGATCCTCATCACGTCTCTCCTAGCTATTGTGATAGACTCATCATTGGTCTCCCTGGCTCCAGCATCTTGCCTATCTAAGCCATCCAACAGACACTACTGCCAAACTAATATTCCCAAGTATATATGTGAGTGACCATGTCACTCCCTTACTCAAGATGTTTCTAGTGTAGTAGTTCTCTCCTGCTTTTTGGATAAAATACAAATTATACTGGTGGTTCTTATGTGAATTCAGCTTATTTTTCTAGGTTTATTGCACATTACTCTTCTTCATTCTCTTTTTTCCCCCAGAGGCTCCCCCCACCTTTTCTGTCCCATTTGCCATTTGAGATTCTATCATCTGGCTTTGTGCCTTTGCATAGGCTGTCGCTCATGTTCAGAATTCACTCCTTCCTTCCCTCCACCTTATACAGGGTGTCCCAAAAATCTTAGTTCAGTTTAAAGCTTAAAATTGCGCTAAGATTTATTGACTACTACACGTAATTCTTAGCTTCCTTCAAGGCACAACACATGTCACACCCTACACAAATCCTATCTTGATTCTCCCCTGTTGCCAGTACTCCCTCTAAAAATTACTTAGTATTTCTATTGTATAGAGTTTGTACTTGAGACTTTTCCTTCTATGGGATGTTGTTACATCTATCACTCCCCTTTCCCAAGATTCTAAGCTCCTAAAGGCAGGGATTTTATTCCCAGCACCGATTCCTGGCAAATAGTAGCCACACAGTAAATGCTAGTGAATGAATTAAAGGGACTATGGAGATGGTACACGTACCCTCCATTATATTATTTCATGAGCAACATTGTGTTTGGCACGTACTAAGCATTTAAGTCCTTGTTGTCTGACTATTTTAGAAGGTCATAATGTATTCTAGATATTCCCAACCTTTAACCTGTCATGGATATGAAAATAGTTCTACTTAAACCCTTAAATATACTTAACATTTTTACTTTGTAGCACTTATTAGGGTAATAAGTTCAGAATGTTTTCTACTTTATGCAAGGTAGCTCTCCTTTTTGTTTCCAAACTACTTTCAAGCTTTAAAGTGTCTTAGTTAAAGTATTTCAAAATGTGATGAATATAATATCTATGCTTTTCATCATTTTATGAACTTCAATCTCATCCTTTTTCAAATGAAGGTCTTTCTAACTCAGGAGTTTTTAAGCTTTTTTTATGTCATCCTTTTGGTAGGCAGTCTGGTGAAGCTTAATGACTGCTCAGAAAATGCTTTTTAAATGCATAAAATAAAATAAATAAAATTGCAAAGGAATTGAATTATATTGAAATAAAGATGTAATTTTTCCTATCCAAATTCACAGATCCAATAATCCCTGCTTAAAGAAACCCCCCCTCATTCCATTTTTTCTTTAGTCTTTTCCCATGTATAATCTTCATGGTAATTTTAGCTTAAATATTTTCTTGAGATGAAGCAACCAGAATAGCACAGTATTTCAAGAGTGGATATGCCTGGAATTAACATTAAGTCACCATTACCCACAAATGTTTCACTTCCCCAATTAGAAACTCTGACATTCCTTCCCCCTTTGGATTATAACTTTCTATCATCGCATCTCTACCTACACTT